CCACAAGCATAGTTGTGTTCATGAGAGAACTTCCATTCAAAAAATTTGGGTTTGGGTTTATCATTTTATATTGTGTTGCAATAATATTGGGCTCATGTATGATAACCAAGCAATAGTTGATTAAAATACAGTGACATATTTTCCAGTTACTACACTTTTTTCACAATCAGTTCTGTTTCCATTACATGTACAGTATCAAGTAAAAGAAAAGATTTAAAAATACATTTCAGGAAATGAAAGGTAAAGTTATCGTTACAGAAACATTATCCCTAAAATTACCATTTGAATGATAAGCAATTCTGGGCATAATTATAGTGCACACTCTGCATTCAATGCATTCTGATATATGGATAATTACTCCTGGTAATATGCGTTAGTTAGATTTTATAACCACAATAACAATTTATTGCAAAATTAATTCCTTGGCACAATTTAACATTTATTGATGTGAAGTCAAAGTGAATTGATTTTATTGCAGACCACTTGTGATACACTTTCCCTATGCTCATGCCCTAATTGGTTATTACAGGTCATTTTGGTATTTAGTTTTAAAAATAAATTAATTTGATTCCAAGGTTCATTTAGTAAAAATGGCAAGATATTTACAGCTTATGTGGTTTTATTTAAATAAAAAATGGTAACATAATGCAATCATCTTTGGTTATAAAGTGATGGATGAATTGGAAACATTTTTGAATCAGGTCAATGGTAGTGATGATTAGTGCATTGTTAATCAAGTTGCTGAGATTGCTATCAAAAGCTTTATCTCTTTCACTCAGACTGGTGAGAGGATCATGAATATTAAAGAGATTCAAATGGATCTGCACTCATGGAATATGGAGCACTACAAATGAAAAGGCTAAATGAACCCAGACTGTGACTTTATGTTCTGATATATCTTTTAACTAAAGAGCAATACCTAATCAATTTCTATGCTTATATTAGACAATATATGTCAAAAGCACACCGAGATAAAGTTTCTTCATATACTATATGTATCTTATGTGTACCATATGTATCTTATGGATTAGGTATTTATTTACAGCCCTATCAACATAATAAAAAATAGCTATGAGAAATGGCTTCTTCAGTAGGTACTGTAGGCCAGATTTTTATCTCAGTCATACCAGGACAAATGCAAAGTAATTTCCTTGAAATCAAGGGCTTCTTCTCAGTGAAATTACTGTGATTTTACACCCCTTTAACTGAGACCAGAACCTGGCCCAGTATGTATGCGTGTGCCAGCTATACATTATAGAGGTGATATAATAAATGATGTATATAACCCTACAAATGAAACAATACACCTGTATGTTACGTCTATCTATCAATTTGACAGCTGAAGTCCTGGTCCTGCAAACATTTATGCACGTGCTTAACTTTACAATTCTGAGTAAATCCATTGAGGCTCAGTGGGATTACTCAGGGGCATAAAGCTAAGCATATTTGAGTTAGTAGATTCAGGGCCTTCACCAGCAACAACTTTGAACAATAAGATAAAAAGAGTGGAATCTTCAAACAAACTGAATCAAAATCAATCTGATGTTTACATCTGTTTAACAATTAAAATGTTACTCTGTCACACGCTGTCTTGGTTGTGCTGCCTTGGCAGTGCTAAGAGTTCAAACTTATTTTTTCTCTAACGTCAGCCAATCTGATTCTGAATACACATGAGGCTTGTTGAGTAAGAAAGTGAAGGGAATCATATTTTTAGCCAGGCATGGGACCTTGTTCCCCTCACTGCTCTGTCATTGCTTACAATAATGCTTCTAGTTCTTGGACAATCTGGGTAACATTTTCAAAGCACCTAAATAATGTAGGCACCCAAGTCATATTTTCAAAAGTGACTAAGGCACTTTAGGGGCTAAGTCACTTCACTTGAGTGTTTTTGAAAATGTTGCTTACTTTGTGCAGCTGTAACCCACGGGCAGGTGTGTGTTACTAGTCTCCCTCTGTGACTATCTACAGAGAATATGAGTTTTTAAAGCCCCCAGCTACAGAGCTTTTGTTCAAGTTGTGTCAGCTCATGCTTTTAGCTTTGTAAGTCTCTGGTTTAATCCCCAGTGTGTTGGCTAAATTGGTGGCTGTACCGTTAGTGGTGGCTCATATGGGAGGGTAACAGTGTGTTAAAATGTGTGGTTGCGGACTTGCGTATTGTCTCTGTGTCTATATATGACAAAATTGTATAGTATTAAACTAATGGGGTTAAATTTTGTGATCCTAAGAAACAGTATAATGATCCATAGCCTCCTTTATATACAATCATGGTTGTCCTCATATGGCATCAGAAATAAAACATATGGCATAGGAAACATAAGAAACAAAACTAGAGCCTTTAACTTCTAAAACAGAGGCTTCTACCTGATGAGGGACAAAAAATGAAGTAATAAATTTAAAGAAACCAGTGCTGCAAATATGCACACGCTGGGGCTGTACATTACATAAGGTTGAGACTGACAAACTCATTTGCCCTTGTGGTTAAATTACAGTGATACCTAATCCTGCCAATTGAAAAATATTATTCTAGCCTCCCCTAAACTCTGAAACATGCCAATAACAATCTCTCTGCCTGCCAAGGTATTTCTGCCACACTTATCACAGTACGCTCTGAGCACATTCCAGATTCTAAAAGTAAACACATTAAAGATTCCTGTAGCTTTCTCATCACCCCTCCGTTAGCAAATTTTGTGGTTTTTCTCTTTTTTCCTAAGGGACGGCAATAGTAAGGACTTGGGGTTTGCATTCTGATCTGAAAGCATTGGGATTCTTGGCAGTGCTAATTTCTTTGGGGAGTGAGTTCAGTAGATTCTGGCTAGCCGCCAAGGAGGCTCTATCTCCTGTGCATATGAGTCACACTCTTGAGCTGGAGTCTGGAGGCCCCAGTGGAATGTAGCTGTCATTGGAGATCATGATCTTGAAAAATGATTTGGTCCCTCAAGTAGTTTGGGCCAATCTGATGGATGGCTTTGAAGATGAGGACTTAAACCTTGAACATAGCTTTGTATTCAGTGTGGAACCAGTGCAGAGATCAGAGCTCTGGAGTGCTCTTGGTGGTCTGTACTACTGAGTGAGTGGGCTACTGTGTCTTGGAGTTTTTTCAATAACCACATTATTGGCCTGGCCATAAGCAGATGCAGTAGAGTTGCATTTATGTACACCAGGCTTGACTTTAGGCTAAAGTACCTAAATATTTCTTCCTGCTTAACACATTAAAGTCCCAGACCTGTTAAAGTGCTGAGCATGCTCTGTGAAGAGAAGTACCCTCATCTCCCACTCAGCGCAGTGCAGATTCAGCTGCATGTGTGTGCCAACATGCTCCAAATTTGTGGAAGGAGCAAGATCCAAAGGCAAAAATGTTTTAAAAAGGCTCTACTGTTAGTCGCAGAACAAAAAGAAAGGCAGCAGGTTTCCTGGTCCATTCTCTGCATCTGATGTGTTTTAAAGTGCATGTGTTTGGGAAAACGGAGGTGGGTGGGTGGGTTGATTTTATAAACCAAATTGTTCTCTTTCTTTCTTTCTTTCTTTCTTTCTTTCTTTCTTTCTTTCTTTCTTTCTTTCTAAAATGATCCAGTGAATCCTACTTCTAGTGGCAAGACCAGAATTGCTTATATAAATGAGGAATAGAACAAAGAAAATATGGAAATGAAATTAGGGCCTAGATTCTCTACTTTGCCACATTGGATTTATATATGTGTGACCCCATTGCTTTAATGCAATTACACATGGGTGTAACAGAGAGGAGACTCCTGCTTGATTTTTAAAGATTTTGGATCCATCAGGTCAGTGTTTTTGGTTATCAGTTTGGGGCAGTGCTGGAGTCCTAAAAAAAGAAGTGCCAGAATTTTAGGGCAGTGGGAGGCCCTGGGAGGGAGCAGGGTGAGCTGGGAGGAATATAGGGTCTGTGGGGAAGCTGGGGGTGGCCCAAGGGAGCAGAGAGTGATTTCCTGCAGAGCCTGTCCTACTCCTGCCTCCCTCCTGCCTGTGCCTGGATCCTGCTCCACAAAAGGGTGGGCGGTCTGCTGTTTGGGCCCCACTACTTGGTTCCTGGCATTGCCCAGCTCTGGCTCCACCTCTGCCCTGGGCTCCTGGTGGCTCCAGCCACCAGGCTGCCCTATCTGGTCCCAGCTGCAGCGTGTCCGACTCCCTCTGTGCTGACCTGCTGCTAAGTGCCCTTTGCCCAGGCCTAGCTTCATCATCTCTGGCTCTCTTTGCACTGACCTGCTGCTGAGCACCCCTTGCCTGGGACCTGCACCAGCACCTGCCATCTCAGAGGATGCTCTGCAGCTGGGCAGGGAAAGCTGAAGCCGAAGCCCCCTGCCTACCACCCATGGCAAAAAGCCTCAGCTCGCCACCCAGGGCCAAAGCTGAAGCCTGAGGGCTTCAGGCCTGGGTGACGGAGCTCAGGTTACAGGCCCCCCCACTGGGACTGAAGCCCGTGGGCTTTGCCCCCTCACACCGGGGCCAGTGGATCTCAGGCTTTGGGCCCCAGCCCAGGGGCAGCAGGGCTTTGGCGGGCTCAGGCTTCGGTCCCCCTTCCTGAGGCCATGTAGTATTTTTTGTTGTCAGAAGGGGTTGCCTTGAAATGAAGTTTGAGAACCCCTGGTCTATTCAGATCCACAAGACGGTAGGTTTTGAGTTTGTTTCTGTATCACACCAATCTTCATAGCTAATGTATATGCTCTGAACACAAGTGTAAAAAAAAATCCTTTGACTTGATTCTAGAGTAACATTTACATCATCTTATCTTAAAGGTTGATAGAACATCCACTGTTGTGTATCTCACACTTTTGTATGTGTATCACAATTTATTTTTCTGTCATTTTAGATTAGTATAAGTGGATTCTTATTGCTGGTTCCTCTTCATCCCGCTTTATGAGCATGACATCCTTGATCTTAATCCTTATTTTGTCAGTTTTCATCTCTCTTTAGGTGCATAAACATCTTTTCTTTTTCAGACTAATGAATAAGTTCAGTTTGTGGCTCTATCTTATTCTGTCTAGCTCTAATACTCATCAGACATATGGAAAATGCCAATCAAGACTTCCTGGAAAGTCACGTTGCAGACACCAGTGATCCTGTGAGGTAGGTAAAGTATTACTTACAGAAGATATCATTGCTTTTATCGACCTCTCTCTTGATTTTTTCCTAAGAGTGAGTCTTTAGATCAGTCACTTTATAATAGAAGGCTTCTCTACTGAGGAGAGGTCACATGATATTCTTAATAACAGTTATAGTCTGATGCTGATCTCACTTACACCAGTATAGATGAGGAGTAATTCCCAGGAAGTAGTAGAATAAGTGGAATTTCCTGTTCCAATTCTGAGCTGACACAGGCTAAATGCCAAAGAACTTTCTGGAGATCAGTTTTTTTCAGCAACTATTTTCAAGCTCAGTCACTGTCATTCACAACATGGTTTCATTATTAACTCCAACTTCCAGAATAATAAACATCCTGCATTCCTTTTGCACCCTAATTCCCACTGAAATCAACAGGCATTTCAGGTCTGAATGGAAGGCCCCTGAACCTCCCAATGACTCCAGTGGGAGTTTGAAGTGTGCTAGGAATGCATGACTGCAACCCCCCTACCCAGTGCGGTTAATGTCTGAACGTTATCTAACGCCATTGCAAAGTCTGCAACGATCAGTTATGAGCCAACAAAATACCGTGATTATGTTTTTATAGATTATTTGCAAAATTTTTCATATTTAATTTAAAATTTAATTGTCTCTTTTTAAACATTTCATACAAAAATGTTTTTGTTATAAAAATATTTTACTGCTTAGGTTCTGTTTCTTTGTTACTTCTCGTGGGCACAGTGCTGCCAGATTCTGAAAACCTGAGTAATGAGTGCCCTACTCTCCTACTGAGTTCAATCGTAGTTAAGGATACACAGCCTCTGGTAGCGGGTGCTCAGCACCTCACAGGATTTGAGCTTATATCTCAACTTTCTTTCTTCTTTTTAATACAAACACTTTCTTTGACAAATTGAGCCTTCTATTTAGCTGCATGGCTTGACCTTTTGTGAGCCTCTAAGGTTCCTTTTTTTCTTCTTGAGCTGTCTGTTAATGATAGCTATTTATTTTTCTTTGCAGCTTTCCTTTGTTTTCTAATCTCTGTTAAATAGAAAAAAAACCACTTTATATATTTTTATTTATTTATTTAATGGATATATCAAAAATCCCACTTTCCAGCTAGTGAAAGAAGTCATATGTCATATTTAGAAAGTAATCAGATGTGGCATTTCATAGTTGGGATATTGGAATATGACAACTTTTTTTTAGAGCTGTGGGAAAATCTCAAATGGACCTCACAGAATTTTCCCCCAGTACTCTATCATTTGTATTGATTGGAGGATGTTTCACAAGAAGAAATAAATAAATGGAAACAGCATATCAAAATATAGCCTAATGTATCTAAGGCCCTGTTTCTACAAGCCGCTTGCAACCAGCTGAAATCTGTGCTAGCACCCAATGGCCTGTTTTACAGTGAGTCTTGCAAGACTGGGGGCTAACTGTATAACAAAGCATTTCTCATAAAGAGCTAAGGTTTTTTCTCCTTGAACCCTCTAGTTCTTAAAGCCTTGAAATCACATTATGATCGTATTGTGGATGATATTGCCCCCTCAGTTATATTGGTACAATAGAATATCTGAGACAGGAATTTTAGAATGACCATCTTTAAATATTTCTCCTTAAAAAGAATCTTTACAAACTAATTTAAAAAAATAAAGCTATAAAACAACATTTTTGTATGGATAGAGAAAAACAACAGGTCATATCCTCAGCTCCCCAAACCCTCCTTCACATGTCCACCATAGGAGAGCTCTGAACAGGTCAGTAATGACTGAACTGCATGACTATGCATATCGTAGTTAAGCAACCAAGAGGTATGCCCATTTCAATCTTAACTACACCTTCGCCCACCTATCAAGCAAACAACAGCAGAGGAAGTGTTGAAGGGAATTTTTATTCTTGGTTACAGGCAAAGAAACTTGGATGAGCTTTTCACTCACTGTCAGCCTTTTATTTCTCTTAAACGGGAAGCTAATCCTATGGACTAACAAGATCTGAACACACTAGTCGTGTAAGCCTGTTTTGCCAGCAACGGCCAATATGCACCTTGGCAAGTGACTCACACTTGCTTCTGCTCCTTCACAGCAGTGCACAATCTCAGAGAATCTGCATTGCCACTGCTAGAGTGTGTTTGGCAAAAATACAAACATCTGCTTATGTAACAGACCTAGCTTCACTAGATCAGGTAACTGTGTATTAGTCCACTGGGAAATTCTAGTCCCTGAGGCAATTCAATGGAACAACCAGTCCTAAGTTAATTGTCCAGTGTTCCCGACCTATCTAGGAGCATTCAGTCCCCATACAAGAATGTCCCTATCCAGCACTTTCCATGAGGGGGAACCTGAAATCTCTGCTTGATCATAAAACAAGGAGACATTCCCATGTCTGATCCAAAACCTCACTCCCTAGTTTCTTAACTTGCACATATACCTTGTCTGAAAAAGGGGAGGACAGGTGCATGTGTTTAAGAGGCATATGTAGAATTGAGATGTTTCTTTATTTGTAACATTGGAGGGTTTTAAAAAGTCTGTTTAATCCATTCAGCCAGAAGCCTTAAGAGTCAAGACTTTAGGGCTGTGTTGATTCTTTGGCCAAGCCTTAAAGCATCATAATTTTTGATATGGCACTGAAACAGAAGATTTTATGTCCAAGAATGCTGACTGCACAAAGTACATAATGAGTCTTTTTGTTGTTGTTTTAACGTTCCATTTTTATTGAGTCTTCCACACATAAGGTGAATGCAAAGAAAAAAATCACATGAAAAGGAAACAAAATCCAGTAAATTGGAAAAAAAAAACATTTAATGTACCTTATCCCCATATCACACATACAAGTCTTTTTCCACTGAATGGGGCCAAATTTACCCTGATAATTTATAATCTGATTATTCACAACAATCAAACTAGTTTCATTGCAGCCAGCCAGTCCAGCAGTCGATGAGCCACTAGCCATCCTTGCACTGGTGAAGATGTAGCACATTGTGAAGGCTGTATGGTCAGCTCCTGGGGAAGAAAGAAAGAGTACCTCACATTACTTTTAAGATTAGCAAGAAACCCAGATTCCGTTAGGAGTTATTAGGGTCTTAGTGTGTCTTAGTGCTCTTCTGTGTCTGCGAATGTCAGCCTTGGTTCACAAACGGTCACAAATCTCGGCTGAAGCTGTTCAAACAAAACTCTTTCCATCCTATTGGGATCTTCAGCTGTCATTGTGTGGCCATTCTGCATCGTTTGTTGCCTTCCCAAGTCATTTCGTATCTGAGCAAAGGAGTCGTGATGTCCCATAACCCTTAGTTAAGGTAATTAGGGAACCTCCAAGAAATTATTTATTACTTTTTAATTAATCCATGTTTCAAGAACTGCTCAGTCACTACTTTATTAATAAATTTCCTCTGAAAAGGAAAGCTAGAGAGCTGTCAGTGGCTAGTCACAACATTCAGCTCAGGAGAAGGGATAGAGAAAGTAAATTGGGAGCTTTTTTTCTCCCTGTTTCATCATACAAGAACAAGGGGACATTTGATGAAATGTAAAGGCATCAAATACAAAACTGAGAAAAGGAAATACTTTTTCCACACAATGAGTAATTAGTCAGTGGAACTCACTGCCACATGATGTCACTGAGGCCAAAGATTCAGCAAGAATCAAGGATTTATGGACATTTATGTGGATTACATTTATGTGGATTACAAGAATAGCCAGAGTTGTTATAGTTAATGCTCAAAAAAGGGGTGCAGGGGTGATAGAAGCAATATAAACCCTCATGCTTCAGGGTTTAAGCCAGGCTCTAACTATTAGGTACTAGGATGCTCTTCATGTAAGGCAGATAATCTGAATCTGTCTACTATGGGATTTCTTGCACCTTCCCCCAATATTGCCTTCACCAACTGGAAGGAGTCTAGGTGCATCCCACTGGCAATACATGTGAGCCCACAAAATATCCCCTGGTACTCATCAAGAACAATAACTTGAAACTGAACAGTTTGGGTGTTTGCCTCATTTTGCGGCGACAACAGTGAGGCCTAAAACTCTTTTAAACCAACTGACCTCACCAAAAATAGGTGAGAAAAAGTCACAGTGAACAACTGCTGACTGTCTTCTGCTGCAAACAGTCTGTGTTGACCTAAACACTGCTGCATGACCCTCCACCCAAGAGCAACAATGACTTCAACATATTGTCATCTCTTACAGCTCCTGGGACAGCTTTGTTCTCAAAATTTTACTGTGGTGTTAGTGGAACAATGAAAAAAGGCTGGAGCAAGGCCCAGGATCAGGGTGGAGGGCATTTACAATATATTTGTGAAGCTAGAAATAGTGCTTCATAGCCATCAGGAAACTCATTCATTCATTGCCCAGTTGAAGCAGAAAAAAGGCAAGAGCCAATTTACAAAACAACAGTTAATGCACCTTACTTTGTAGTGGCCATCATGAATCAGGGACTGCCTTAATTTAGTGGACATGGGGCCTGTTGTTTCTATAATCAATATTCCCCTCAGCCCTTCCTTTTATGCCCAAAGGATTCAGGAATGAGATAGTCAGTTAAAGGGATGGTAGATACAACTGTTCATATTGAACCATGAAGGCGTTGCACCTTTGTGGTCACCAATGGCTTGTTATTGCATGTTGGCAGATTTTAGAGGCCAGAATTAGACTGGGATAGTGGTGAGAAATCAGCTATTGCTATGGGGTAATAATATACATCATTACTCCATTTTTGACCAGTAGATATTGGCAGGTTGCCTGTTGGGAAGATTTACCTGGACAGTGCTGCTGTATTCACCTCCAGTGTCTACAGTGCTGTATAGAATCTATGAGGCCAGCTTGTGCCTGGGTCTGAATAAGCTTTCGTTTGCACAACCCATTTAATTTTTTGGAAAATGTTTAGTCAACATTGTCAGCTCTGAGGGAAAGGGACAGTCTTTTTGTTCTCTGTGTGCACAGCACCTAGCACAATGGGGTCCTTGTCTATGCCGAGGGCTTCTGCCCATTACCACAGTACACATAGTAAATAATAAT